CAATGGATCTCGAGAACATCAAGGTGGCTGGCAGGTCACAAACTGCCCTGTAAGGTTCTCCCACCACAAAGCCGGTGTAAAGCAGGGACTGGCTCCACAGTGACATACCAGGCCACAGGACGTCGGGCAGGAGTCAACCCTCTGTGGGGGTCTCTAGTCTGGTTCCTGAGCCAGGCGGTCGCAGTACTCCAGGGCACTGCTGATTTGGCATCAGCCTCATTGGCAGACCAGTCACTGGGCGCGACCATTCCCACTCAGCTCAATAACACCACAGATCTACACAAGCAGCAGGAAGCTTGCCACACAGTGCCGTCAATGGCCAACTGTGCTGTGGAGTCCTGTAGTGTAGTGGTTAGAGCACTCGCCTCACAAGCGAGAAGGCCTGAGTTCGATTCCCAGCAGTGTCAAACCTTGGGCAAGTTTCCTGACGCCACACGCCTGATAATAATGCCTCAAGAGAAAAAGAAATTGGTCATTATCAATCCACGACTGTTTGTGGGACACTGCTGTGCGCACTTGGCTGCTGCATTTCACCCACAAATATACAGTCAATTCACTTTACAGCATATTCTGCTGCACACCGTCCATCACAGGGAACAGAGACATCTAAAGACATGAAAAGCGCTGTATCAATAATAATTATTATTATTATTTTTATTAATGGCAATACTGTATATTCTGTGAAGTACTTTGAGACATCTCAACAACATTACTCCAAATGTAGGTATTATTGTTATTATTATTATTATTGTTATTATTATTAATATTATGCTGTTTTCGTTGGTTGAATTCCAAATTGTTATTATTATTAATATTATGCTGTTTTCGTTGGTTGAATCCCAAACACATACTCTGGTGTCCCCAAGCCTTGCACTTGCCAACATGTGCATAATACTCTCTGAATTAGATACTCAGAGTGGATATATATGTAGTACTCACTCTCTGGTTTAGATACTCTTTACAATGGTGACATATTTCTGTATGTATCAGGCAATCGGCTGCCCCAACACATGAGGAGGGGTTTTCTCCTTCGGTCTTCACCAACAATCCTCAATCTGAATTGGCTTTTCATTAACTTTCAGGGTGCAGGGTAGAATCCTGGAGTCTTCATGACCATTGGGGGTCCATCATCTGAGTAAACTCGCTGCAAAACAGTCACTACACTTGCCAGTAATTATTTTATTGGTCCTAAAAAAATCCCAGGTTTTGTGTGTGAGACATTGTGCTGCCCATAGGCTCACACAGGGTGAGTGAGGAGCACAGGCCTGAGGGAGATGGTGCCATGAAGAGCAGGTAACATATCCAGGATTTCACAGTGTGTAACATGTACTCTGTCACACTGACTGCTCTGCACTATTCCAATCCTGTTCCTGTCTCAGGTCATGAAGAGAAGCTCCGGTCAGTGACTGGTACCAAGGGAGGTGATGCCACACTGCCCTGCTCCTTCACCATCCCCAACACATACCAGAATCGTGCCACAGTCACAGTGCTTTGGAGGAGAGGGAGGCCACATGGGCAGCTGGTGTTTAATTACACTCTTGGCCTCACCGCCCACACCAACTCCGGGGAGTCAGAGACAGTGAATGAAGGAAATCGCTACAAGCTGGTCAGGAATGTGGGAGATGGAGACGCTTCCCTGAAGATCAGGGGCCTGGAGTTAAACGACACCGGACGGTATTTCTGTCACGTACACGTCATGTTTATAAAGGAAGACGTACCAACAGGACCAGGTGACACAGGACATGTCACGGCTGCAGGTTGTTGGTAAGAGATCTCTTGTCTCTGTGGGACACGGAAAGGGGTGAATGAACAGATGAATCATCAGTGACGCAATGTTACAGACGATGTTTGTCTCATTCCTTACCCTGTTCCTCATGTGTTAATTAGCACAAGAAACATGGTATCAAAAGGAGGAGACTTTAGTTTGTTACTGGGGACAGGGTTTCTTCCCACTTGTCTCCTGTTAACCCTACAAGCTAAAGCCCAGGGTGATCCTCGCTGGACAAGCAGCGGGAAGCTTCCCAACGATAAATAATGTGTTTTTCACAAGTCCAGGATTGGTCTGAATGAAGAAGGTCCATCTGGTCTTATCCTTACAGAACACCCACCCCCCCACTCCCAATCACAGTATCAACTGCTTTTTAAATGAGTCCCAGTGTCCTGGCCTCAGCCACCCTTCCTGGCCACCTGTTCCAATCCCTGATTACCCTCCGAGTAAAGCAAAACTTAAACACACGACCAGGTCCATCAGTGTCGGAACAAGACAGACTGGTTACCATCCCAGACACTGCACTGCCATCAGAACAGCAATATTTAGTTACCCGACAGGGGACAGTGTAGAACTTATTGATTGTCTTCACGGATTTGATAAGAACTACGTCATTGCTCTCAGGTACGTCAGGAGGGCACAGGGTCAGTGTTGTGACCCTGAATAAGAACAGATACCAGGAAGTATTTCTTTGTAAAGAGGGTAATTAATGGCTGGAAGCGGTTACCAGGAAGGGTGGTTGAGGCCGGACACTTTCTTCACACAAACCTCTTTTATGTTCTTGTGATTATCAAATGTCTGAAATACTAATGTTTTACACATTTGATCTTAAATATTTCTTATTAACAAATATCTAAAGAAACAAAATACAACAAAGTAAATTTGTATATTGTCTTTCATGTCAGGCCCAAAGCCCTGGAAAGTTGGTGTGTTGGACTCGAGCTGGGGGTCGGGATTGGGGAGCGTGAAGGGCAATGGGGGAAGGGTGTTGATCAAAAACACGGTTGAAGAGGAGGGTCTTGAGATGCGTCTTCAAAGAGGCAAGGCAGAGGTGATGTGGAGGCACTGCAGGATGGAGTTGCAGAGGGTGGGTGCAGAGTGGCTGAAGGCCGGCCCGTCATTGGTGGGAGTGCAGGCGGGGGACGTGATGCAGGCTGGAGCCCGCTGAGCGGAGGGATTGAGGAGGTTGATAGTGTGTTAGGAGGTCACAGGGGTAGGGGGGAGCGAGGCCTTCAAGGGCTTTGAAAGGTGATGACCAGGATATTGAACTGTATCCTCTGTGTGATGGGAGGCCAGTGGAGTCGGGCCAGGATGGGGCTTAGAGGGTATGGTGTGGGAGAGGACATGAGCTGCAGCGTTCTGACTGTTCTGTAGATTATGGAGGGAGGATTTGATGAGGTCGACAAACAAGGAGTTTGCAGTCAAGCCGGGATGCAATGAAAGCTGTATGAGGGTTTCAGTGGCTTTGGTATGGGACAGTGGCGGTGCCGGGCGATATTGTGGATGCGGGGGAGGGCAGAGCAGGTCATGGCACAGATGTGGGACAGAAAGACAGAAAGTTGAGGGTCAAACAAGACCCCAAGGTTCCGTACTGCTCAGTGAGGTGGAGGGAGTGTGCAACATGGACGGTAATGCTGTCAGCGCCTGAGGTGAGGAGTCGCTGACGGGAGCCAATCAGGAGAGCCTCGATCTTGTTGACGTTCAACTGTAGAAAGTTCGCTCTCATCCAGGACTTGATGTCTGACAGACATTGTGTCAGGAGAGTAGTGGGTCCTGGAGTCAAGGGTAGAGGCAGAGAGGGAGAGTTGGGTGTCATCCACATACATGTGGAAGTTGACCCCATGTCTGCGGATGATGTCACCAAGAGGGAGCATATAGATATTGAAGAGGAGGGAACCAAGGACAGAGCCCTGAGGAACTCCGCACGAGACGGTGCGGGGCTAGAGGACAAAATGTTTTTGGAGATTAAGTGGAGGCATTGTGAGAGGTACGATATCAACTATTCAAGGACAGAACCGTGAAGGTTGAGGTGAGAGAAGAGGCGGCAGATGAGGATAGAATGGTCAACAGTGCCAAAGACAGCAGAGAGGTCAAGGAGAATGAGGAGGCAGAGGCAGCGCTCGTTGCCGATGAACAGAATGTCATTTGTCACTTTGACCAGGGCTGTTTCCATGCTGTGGGTGGCATGGAAACCTGATTGGAGGGGTTCGTGATGGGAGTGGCCGGAAAGGAAAGACGAAGCTAGGAAGCATCGACTCTTTCCAGGACTTTGGAGAGGAAAGGGAGGTTGGAGATAGGGCTGCAGTTTGAGAACAGGAAAGGGTCCACGGCAGGTATTGTTAAGGAGAGGAGTGATGGTGAATGTTATTAAAGGGGTGGGAATGGTACAAGTGGACAGGGAGAAGTTTATGATGTCCGTGGGTAGACAGGCAATGAGGGAAATTTTTCTCCAGAGTGAGGTTGGTTGGATGGCGGTGGGGAGAGGGATTGAGGGGTTAAGGGAGATGAAGTGATGGTCTGAGATGGCTTTGTCGGTGATGGTGAGATACGAGACGGTGAGACCGCAAGTGATCTGCGGAATTGGGTGGCTGAGTGGATTTAGAGGGAGATGTTGAGGAAGGAGATGAGGAAGGAGATGAGGAAGGAGAAGTCAGCAGAGGTAGAGCAGGAGGGGGTGAAGTGAAGTTTGAAGTCCCAAGGCCCTGGGACCCGAATAGACTTGAATATTGGAAAAATAAATTTTGTGTTTCAAAGGGAACATTGTGAACAACATGAAAATCTACTGCAAAACAGAAGGACTTAGAGTAGAGAGCTCCAGTGGGAGAGCGAGCTCCAGCACAGACACGATGGGGAGAGAGCGGGGAATGGGGTTAGAGTAGAGAGCTCCAGTGGGGGAGCGAACACCAGCACAGACACGATGGGGAGAGAGCGGGGAATGGGGTTAGAGTAGAGAGCTCCAGTGGGAGAGAGAGCACCAGCACAGACACGATGGGGAGAGAGCAGGGAATAGGGTTAGAGCACAGAGCTCCTGTGGGGGAGCGAGCACCAGCACAGACACGATGGGGAGAGAGCAGGGAATGGGGTTAGAGTAGAGAGCTCCAGTGGGGGAGTGAGCACCAGCACAGACACGATGGGGAAAGTTGTTTGGTTAGAATAACTCTGTATTTCTTGAAACCTGAAGCTCCGGCCGTCATCCTGAGTCTGTCCCTCGTGGCCGGTGATGGAGCTGGAGGTGACATTGTGTGCTCGGCTGAGGGGGAACCACCGGCCAACATCACATGGATCGACCCCGAGCATAACACGCTGCCCATTAACACCAGCCACACGCCAGTCACACATGTACCGGACAAGCATCAAACCGTGGGGGAGATCCGGGGCCCGAGGCTGAGGGGAACTTACCGCTGTGTAGCTGAGAACACACAGGGTAGTGACGCCCGAGACATCCTCGCACCTGGACCACAGAGCAATGGTGGTCGTACTGTCTATATTATGGTATCCATTGTGGTGCTGCTCGTTCTGGTGACTGCCATCATTATCTGGCGGGTAAAGAGAGGTAGGTGTTTACAGACAAAGGTAATGTTTATTCCAAGTGAGTCTGTCTCAGCCGCTCGCACTCTCACCTCTGGCTCAGCAGATTATCTGCCGCGGTTACCTCCATAACAACATTCACTGTCAATTGTAATTGCTGTGTAACGCTGTGTATCCACACACTGGGTATCTGCTCAGACACAGGACGGGTCGCCCCAGATCCTGATAACCACAGGCGAGATATTCCCTCTGCTGTTACCTAATCATCAGATATCCTCCTATTACCTTATTCACTTGAGCGCCAGCACAGACAGGGTGTCGCAATATCCATTGATTGTTAGGAGATAAATCCTCACATACAGTTAGAGACGCAGAGAGAAACACATGGAAACCTGATTCCTCACACAAAGTTCCCCATAACAATTAATGGGGCCACCAATCTCTCCTTCACCAGCACAGACGCCATGGGGAGAGAGCAGGGATGGGATTAGGGTAGAGAGCTCCAGTGGGGGAGAGAGCACCAGCACAGACGCCATGGGGAGAGAGAGGAGGGATGGGATTAGGGTAGAGAGCTCCAGTGGGGGAGAGAGCACCAGCACAGACGCCATGGGGAGAGAGAGCAGGGATGGGATTAGGGTAGAGAGCTCCAGTGGGGGAGAGAGCACCAGCACAGACGCCATGGGGAGAGAGAGCAGGGATGGGATTAGGGTAGAGAGCTCCAGTGGGGGAGAGAGCACCAGCACAGACACAGTGGAGCTAATGGCTTTGGATGGTGATATGAGCCTGGCTTCCTGCTTCAGTAGCCATGGTTACACCACACAACAGGAAGAGGAGGGTTTGCACAAGTCTTTCCCTATAATAACATGTGCACTAACAAAGGTCATCAGCAAACCATCTAAATCAATCTCTCATCTTTCTTTGGTCTCTTTAGGTGATGGTGTCGGACATTGCTGTCAGTGTTCAGAGAGGTGAGAGCGTCTTTCTAATCCCTTCACTGTTACATCCACTTCCAAGTTCCTAATTGCTGTTGAGCCCTGTATCTGGAAAGCTTCCTGCTTCCCTCTCCAGCTTGGACCACCCTCACTGTTAGGGCTTTGACTTGCAGGGTTAGCAGGAGCTGAGTGGGAGGATTCCCTGCCCCCAGTGACTGCTCTGCCCTTCCAAGTGCAGACCCACTGCAGACCTTCCGAGCACTGAACCGAACTCGAGACCATCGCATTCCGTTGCCAAACATCTAACTTTGCAGCCAGAAAAGCCCAAAGAGACACCGTCCCCAAATGACCAACTGGTGTCTACTCTGCACTACTGAGAGCAGCGATTCTTCCCACTCAGCTCCTGCTATCTCAGCAGCACAGAGTCCACACTCACACACACATAGAAACACACCAACTCACCCCAACTCACCCCAACACACACACTCACTCACACACACACAAACACACACACACAAAGAGATGGTGTCAAGTGTAAAACAACAACTTGCCCTTATAAAGCACCTTTCAAACACATAAATTACCGACCCATTTCCAACCTGCCCTTCCTTGCCAAAGCTCTGCCATGGGTTGTTGCTCACCATCTTTGCTCTCACCTCTCCCTCCACTCCATCCTCGAGCTGTTGATGAGGTGACCTTTCACTTTTGCAAGATGGTTCCCTTGTAAAAACTAATGCAACACAGGCTCTCTCCAGCAGCAGAACATATTTCCATGAGAAAATGACTGATAAGGAATGAAAACAGTTTGTTGCTTATAAATAGGCTTTTATTTCCACTCTACAAAGCTCATCACAACCGACTCCCCTCATATGAGATTGATCATATGTTTCAAATATATAAACATCGCAAATATCATTTAAGATATTATTTAACATATTAATTACTGACTCCTACACTGTGAAGTGTTATGAACGTCTTTCTGACGTGAAAGACGCTGAATGAAATGTAAGCATTATTACATATAAGGTTTTATCTTCCAACCTCTATAAAATGTACAATATAAAACGTTTTCTCTTTTTTTCAGTCATCAAATGGTTAGCAACAAAATGGTCCGACCTCAGCCGCCTGCAGGAGACGGTAACTGTTCTGTCTCGATTAACGATGCCACAATTTTGACCCCGTGCTTTCAATATCCGGTCACTGGGTCTCAGCCGAGCTCAGTCAGTGACCATCTCACCTCTGGCTCTGGGTGTCTTCACACACAGAAACCCATCACTGTGCTTCAGAGCATCCAAACCAGACTGAGAATTCCACCCATGTAAGTCACCTACACGTGGAAATTTCCATATATGGAATGGCTCACTCTGTCTGTCTCCACGGAGAGACTCATCCTGCTTACCTCATTTCGGAGAATATACAGCTCACAGCTGTGCCCCGGACCTGGGAGTCGGCAAAATGCATCTGCCAAGTCACCAATAATATTTGGAAAGCCAATGGGAAAAGGGGAGTGGGGCTAAAGGGAGAGCCTTTCAGAGCCTCACAGTCAAAGGGCCTCCAAATGGGTATAAATGTTCTGATTGTACAATTGGTGCTGTAGTGAGAGGGAACCTCAGGGCTCTGTCCTGGGACGGCTGAGAGGGAGCCTTATAGAGGCTACGTCCACCCTGGGACATGGTAGAATGTGGCAAAGGGGAAACTGGAGAAGGAGCTGACTGTTGTGTCTCTGACAGACGAAGCTGCTGTGATCTACAGTGTGGTTCCCCCAGCACCGGCCCGGCAAACAGATTCAGGTAAGTAAACATATCACACGGGGACGGAGCCGGCATTGTGTCGGTTCTCAGCCGACAGAGATCTGCGGTCCCTCTCCTGTCCGGGGTTAACTGTCAGCCTGGCTCAGTTGGCAGCACTCTCACCTCTCAGTCAGATGGAAATTTCCCTGTGTCTGGAATGCAATGTGATATTGGAAAAGAGAAGGGACTTTCTCTCTCCTGATGTCCTGGCCAACAATGCTCCAAACATAATTGGTCACCCACTTCATAGCTGTTTGTGGGACATTGCTGAATGCACATTGGCTGTCAGGTTTACAATACAATGCAAACTGCATTTGTATCACGTCGGGAGGGTGTCCCAAGGCGCTGGACAGTCAGGGATTTGGACCTGGGTTTTGGGGTAAGGGATGGTGGAGGGCCGGAGTGGCCGAACACACAGTCGAAAAGAGAGTCTTGAGACATGCCTTGAAGGAGGCAAGGGAGGGAGCACGGCAAAGGGAATGTGGGATGGCTTTCCAAAGGGTAGGTGAGAGGCTGAAGGCATGGCTGCCGATGGTGGGGCGGGCTGAGCGGTGAATGTGGAGCAGGCCGCAGCCTGCTGAGTGGAGGGAGTGGACAGTTTGATAAGGAGTTAGCGGGTCACAGAGATATAGGAGGGCAGAAGTCTGTCGAGGGCCTTGAAGGCAAGGATGAGGATTTTGAATTCTATCCAATGAGGGTTTGGGAGCCAGTGGAGCTGCGCGAGAGTGGGGGTGATGGTATCATGGAGTCTGGTGCGGGAAGGACATGAGCTGCAGTATTCTGAATGGTCTGGAGTCCTGTAGCTCAGTGGTTAGAGCACTCGCTTTGCAAATGAGACACCTGTGTTCAATTCCACGCAGAGGGTGAAACCTTGGGCAAGTTTCCTTACTCCACACAGAGCCTAATAATAATCCCTCCAAAACAAAACAATAATAAATAAATACCAGGGAAGGTAGAATGTGGCAAAGGGGAAGCTGCAGAGACCTGGAGAAGGAGCTGACTGTTGTGTCTCTGACAGACGAAGCTGCTGTGATCTACAGTGTGGTTACCCCAGCACCGGCCCGGCAAACAGATTCAGGTAAGAAACAACAACAAAATTACATTTGTGAAGTGTCTTTCAAGACGGGAGGACGTCGCACGTCGCTGGAGAATCGGGGATCAGGACCCGAGCGTGGAGGGAGCAGGGATGTGGTGAGGGAGGGCAGAGATGTAGGTGGGCGGCTGAAGTCACGCACGAAAAGGAGAGTCATGTTTCGGGCCTTGAAGGAGGCAGTGGAGAGAGCGAGGAGAAGGGATTGTGGGATGGCGTTCCAAAGGGTAGGGCCAGGCCGCCAATGGAGGGGGGCATCTGGTTGGAGACATGAAGCAGGCCGGAGTTTGCTGAATGGAGGGAGCAAACAGGTTGATAGGTGTTAGCAGGTCAGAGATGTAGGAGGGCGTGGGTGAGGATGATTGGATTATGGAGCTGCTGTGGGGAAGACACAAGCTGCAGAGTTCTGGATGATCTGAAGCTTGTGGAGGGAAGAGTTTTGGAGGCCAACAAGGAGGTATTTTCTGTAGTCGAGCCTTGAGGTGATGAGTGTCAGAAGGAAATGACCCAAGCTGGACCGAAGTCACAAATAAGGAGAATATAAGTGGTCAGGGACCTAATACAATTATAGAACAGAAGGGTGAAAAGACTTTCAAAAATAAAATGAGAGGAGCAACGAATAATAATGAATGAAACTGTCTGTACAGCAATGTTCACAGCATCCGAAATAAAACAGGAGGACTGAGGCAGTAATTCGTAGTGAGGAAACAGATATATTTGGGATTACTGAAACGTGGCTACAGAAAGACCAGGACTGGCAATTAAACATTGCAGGTGTAACATATTTAGATAGGATAGAGATGGGATAAAAGGGCATGGAGTAGCTGACATGTTAGGATAACATCATGGCAGTAGAAAAAAGGAAATCTGGAGATCAAAACCAGGGGCCATCAATATAAAATTGTCACAAGTGGATTAAATAGGGAAGTTAGACGTTTGAAGAATAAATGTCTTCACACAGAGTAGTGAGAATGTGGAACATCTGCCACAAGGAGTTGTTGAGGCTGATAGCATAGATGTATTTAAGAGGAAGCTGGAGAGGTACTTGAGGGAGAAAGGAATAGAAGGTGATGCTTGATGGCTTAGTTGAGGAAGAGCAGGAGGAGGCTCATGTGGAGCTAAAGCCCAGTTGGGCTGAATGGCCGGTTTCTGTGCAATATATTCTAATGTATTCTAACACAATTTGCTTCCACCGTCTCCAAAGGGAACCCTCCATAAGTTACTACTCTCTCACTGAAGTAGTGAACAAATGTTTGAATAAGCGTTACATTTCTGTATTTGATGCAGAATCTGTAATGTTAGAAAGTTTCAAAGGTCTTCAACAGGTACTGACTGTGTTCGTGGACAAACACAGCAACCACTTTGCACACAGCCATATCATCTGAAAGAAATAAAAAGAGTTTTTTGTTAAAGCGCTGAATAAGGTGAAGGACAAAACAGAGATGAGGTTCAGGGCAGTTCTGAGATAAAGTGTGTCGGAGCTGCTGAAGGGAAAGGTTGAGAGTTTGCACGTGTCGGCACACGCTGGAGACAGTAGATATCATGAGTCGGCAAGAACAGTGATCAGAAGAGCGCTGAATTTTGATGATTGTGGGTGGATTAAAAGCAGGAAGGGTGGAATTTCAGAGGGAATCCATATGGAATTAGTTGCAGTTTAAGACAGTTACTGAGGAAAGAGATGTGGCTGTGAAAACAGGTTTTAATGAAAACATCATCAAACACAAGAAGGGAAACAGATAGCTAAGAAGGTGAGCAGGGTAAAAGGGAAGAAAGAAAGTCACGGTGAAGTGAAGAGCAGAACTTCTTCAAGGTAGGCATTCCTAGAAGACAATTAGTCTACAATTCATCTGGTTGATTGTCGCGCAGGAAGCCGGGAGGAACTCGCTTCTCTTTTCCATCAGTGTCGAGGGATCTTTAATGTCAGGCAAACAGGTCCTTGGTTTAACGTCTCATCTGAAGGACGGCACCTGGATGGTGAACACCACAACCCGCTGACCCACAGGCGAGAGTGCTACTGACTCACCAGACTGACACCTGATGAGTAATGGGTGCACAGAGGCAGCTGTGGGAGAAGACGAGGAGAGATATGACAGATTATTATAATATATTTTTGTGGGTGAAACGCGGCAGATAATTGCGCACATCAGTGTCCCACAAACAGTCGTGGATTGAGTGACCAAATGAAAAAAGAGAAATATTTTGAAGGGATTGTTACCCCAGAAAAAGCGATGCACCAATCGACTAACAACCGGGTTCCTTGTTACTGCTGTGTAAACACCGGCGGTGGAGTAAGGAAACTTGACTACCGTTTGGGTCGGCCCGGAATCGAACCCGGGAACTGTTGCTTGCGACGAGTGCTGTCACCACTGAACTACAATACTCCATTACTGTCTCACAGGTTCGCCTGACTGCGGCCACATTAACATACACCACCGAGCCATACGTTCACAAGCATTTTATTCAGTAATTTCAGAACAGAATATTTACTGTGGAGATCAGGTTCAGTAGGAAAAATAGTGAATAAGACAATCTGAATTCAATGCCTTGGAATCAACGATGCAGTGGGTTTGGGGGAGAGTGTGTGAGGGGGGAAGATTTGTGAGGGGGGCAGTGTGGGGGCCACGAGGGGGATTGAGGGGTCGGTAGGGGGCAGAGGGATAGTGGGGGTGAGGGGGGCAGTGAGGGG